TTTTTTTCTGTAATCTTTCTCTAGTGGAGTTGTGATTATCCAGCCATCTAGGCTAGGTCAAATGGGTACTGTCTACATATTTGGTTGTTCTTGTGCATCTCCCCTTATTTCATATCAGCTGGATGCTTCACTCTCAGCTCTAGCCCTCTGTGGCTATGTCCTTGTCCATGGGCTCAAGTGTCCCCAGATCCCACCACACTTTGGACCAACAACGTTGTAGCCCTTTCTCTTCTCTCTCTCATCTCCAGGTCAACAGAAGTCAATGGACCATGGTTGAACTCAGCCCATTTCTTCATTGCTGCCTTTCCCCCTCTTCCACTCACCAGTAGACCAGTATGGTAGCCAGCAAGCTTACATGCCTGTTCGTGTGTTCCCTTTGAGTTTCAGTCTTAGAGGGGAGTTTGTCCTGAAGGAACTTGGTTGCTTGCCTTGATGACTTTCCGGCAAACAGCTTTCTAATTCTTGTAGTAGCCAGTCATGCTGACATTTTTGTTTTGGGTTTTTCCTGATTATCTTTCTTTGAAGATGTATCTTCTGTTGCTCTAGCTGTTCCAGGCTGGTCTGCTTATCCTTGCTAGTGGGAATGTCCCACCTCATAAGGTTCTGGATGGGACTCAGGATTCCATCTAAGGTCCTATAGTATGCAAATGCTTTGCAAGAGGCCTATTTAACTGGGCAAGTTCTAGAACCCCTTTTAGGTATTCTAGTCAGTTATAGGCTGAAGATGGGCTTACAGGTTTTCTATAATCATGCTTCCCAACATTCCTTTCTATCCCATCCAAGTGTCAATTTTATAATAATAGGAAAGGGAAACCAATATTCATAAGACAGTCAACTATTTTAGTATTATTTCCCCTCTTCAAACTATGCTTCTATAGAGTTTTTGATCAAAGTGTTCAGTAATAGTAGATGGGTACCATCCAGTTCTTCTGGTCTCATAGAGGCAATTAGTCATTTTGTTGTTGTTGTTAAGTTTGTTAAGACCCATAGTGAACATGTATAGAGTTTCCAAGGAGTATTTAATGAGTTTCAACTGGCAACATTGTGATTCACAGTTCAGTGTAAATCCTATAGCTCCACACCAGGAATCCATTCCATATCTTCCTCTTATTCTTCACCTCTCCTTCTTCCTCTTTTGCTCCAGGCAAATAGAAACCAAGTGTGCTTTGGATGACTTTTAAGATCTCAGGCTCTATGCAAGGAACTAGGAGGTAGAACAGTTAATTTTTCCTATTAACTGGGACCCCCTTAAAACTCTGACTCTCAACTCTCAACCTATAAACCAAGGAACTAAATCCCATGAGGTATTGGTTGTACATAAGCAGCCATGGTGGTGGTTATGTGCTGTGGAGTTGGTTCCGACTCATAGTGACCCTGTATAGGGTTTCCGAGGCTGTAAATTTTTACGGGAGCAGAAAGCCTCATCTTTCTCCCACAGAACAGCTTGTAGTTTCGAACTACTGACCTTGCGGTTTGCAGCTTGATTTGTAACCACTACGCTATCAGAACTACTTTTAGCAGCCGTAGTGGCTGTGTGCTGTGGAGTCGGTTCCAAGTCATAGCGACCCTGTACAGGGTTTCCGAGGCTATAGATCTTTATGGGAGCAGAAAGCCTCATCTTGCTCCTGTGGAACATCTGGTAGTTTTTAACTGCTGACCGTGCGGTTCGCAGCCCGATTCGTAACCACTACACTACCAGAGCTCCTTAGTGACAGAACATTATATTGATTAAGGGTAGGACTGCACAGTTGATTGTTATAATTGCTGTCAAGTTGAATTGGTAAAAGTTATGTAATAATAAATTTACAATGACAGAAAAGAAAAAGCAGCTGCTATGGTCTTCCTCTTTTTCTCTGACCCTCCACCTTATCAAACATGATATCCTTCTTCAGTGATGGGTTCCGCCTGACAATATGTCCCATCCTGGCCTCCAAGGAGCACTCTGGCTGCACTTCTTCCAATACAGATCGGTTTCTCCTGCAACACCGTAACTCAAAAGCATCAATTCTTCTACGGTCTTCCTTATTCCCTGTCCAGCTTTTGCATGCATATGTGGTTTTTGAAAATACTATGGCTTGGGTCAGGCGCAGCTTAGTCCTCATCCTAAGAGGAGTGATTTAATTGAGCTTATTTTCTGTAGCTTGCTTTACAAAAATGATGGGTACACTGCTTGCCCTTTTTTAAACTAGTTAGGAATGTATAGTCACATTTGTTAGGTACTCAATAAATTAATATTGCAGTTGGGTTCCATTGAGTCCATTTTTTAATCATAATGACCTCATATTCATATGACAAAGTAGAACTACCACATAGGATTTTGTAGGCTGTAGCACTGTAGGATAAGTACTGGTCAGTTGGAACTACTGACCAGCCACTCCTGGAGACCCTATAGCGTATCGCTGTGAGTTTGAACTGACTTAACAGCACTTCGAAACAGCAGCAATGTTGATCAGAGCAGAACACCAGCCTTTCTTCTATGTAGCAGCTGAATGTGTTTGAACTGCAGCCTTTGTGTTAGCAGCCATGTACTTAACAGTGCACCTCCGGGACTCCCTCAAGATATTTATACAATCGTATTATTGATTTTAAATTATTGAAATACATAGTCTGTATTTAGTGAACAGATGGCACTTTATAGCTGGGTGCCTGTCATTGGGCTTGACACGCTGTGTGTTAGCAAAAGGCAGAACTCATTCCCTCTCCTCCAGGACTTTATAATCTAATTAGGCTAGTTGTATGCATGCGTAACTTCAAATTTACCACGATTAAATGGAACTCTTGGATCTAGCTAGCCCTCACTCTCACCCTCCCTGTTCCTGCTGTATCATTCAGTGTTCCCGCCATCCATCCATCTAGCCATTCATATTAAAGGCTGAAAGCTAGCAATCATCCTTGGTTTTCTTCTTCTTTGCTCCCCATCCAGTCTGGACTCCCTGTTCTCCAGCTGAACTGCTGTCAGACTCTTACGTACCCTTTAAGACTGTTCAAATATTGCCTCTTCTGGGAACTCTTCCCAGTACCTTCCCGGATGGTCAGGTACTCCTCCCTCAGTGCATTTGTAGCTGACAGGAAACTTGACTTAAATTTAATTACTGTAGTTCCTTGAAGCTAGGGAATTTAGCTCAGTCCTCCATGTAAACCTAGTACCAGGCCCATTAGACCCTCAGCAAAGGTTTTGAAAGAAGTACTTCGTTTGAAATAATGATTAATTTAATTTAGTGTTTATGAACCATCCCAGTGAAGTCATCTTGTAAAAGGTAGACAAAGATTGTGAAGGGCTTGAATACTGTAAAAAGAAATGAGCAAGTAGAACTGGACACCTGGGTCCACACAACCAACCCTCTAGCCATGTGGCCGTTCGACCAAGTGTGGCCAATGAACACAAGACTTCCAAAAAGTCTGCTCAGAGGAGACATGTCTTTCCTTCTTTCTCTTTTTTGCTGACTGGAATGCAAACTAAATGATGGGACTCTCTCAACTGTTTGTGGGTGGTGGGACCCTGGTGGGATAGGAAATGGAAGAGTCTGGATGCTTGACAGGAAGCTAGGCATTCCAGCAAGAGGGACAGAATGGAAGAACACATTTAGAGGTCAGGGTGAAGAAAATGAACTGGCAAAGGAGACTGAAAAGGAGCCACCTGGGTGGAAGGAGGGTAACTGGGTGAGTATCTCCAAAAAGGAAACTAATAAATTCTCTCAAGAAGGAGGAGTTGGGTAACTACTATGAGTTGAGTAAGATGGGAATTGGGAAAACATCATTGGATTTGACCTCTGGAATGAGGGGAAGGCAGAAGTGGCATTGGAGTAGGCCAGAAGGTGAGTGGGAGAGTAGGAGATGACTTCTGAAAGACATTTGACCTTGGAAAGGGTCAGAATTGGGGAAAGGGTCTAACTGGAAGGGAATGGAGTAAAGGAAAAGTTTCCCAAGATGCTGGAAAGTGTTTATATGTTGTTGGGAATAATCCTATTTGAGAAGGAAATAGAAAAGAAGCAAGGACTTGAGAAGCTGAGAGTTGAGGACCATCTAAGGGCAATAGACAGATAGAATGCTTTAAGGAAAAGAGACACTTCTCTGTGGTAAAAGAAGTGAAGAAGATGGGAAAGGTGTGTGGACTGGTTGATAGATTTGAGATGCGGACATGAGGGAACTATATAATTTTCTTTTGAAATAGTCAGCAAGATCCTTAGCTGAAACCTCGTAGATGTCACCCCCATATCTTGCCAGTCTCTTCTGTTACAGCTCATGTTTCCATAAGCTGTGAGAAGAGTCTTTCCCAAACTTTAAACAGATTGTATGTTGCTCTTGTTAAGTGTCGTTGAGTTGGTTCCAACTCAGCAAATCTGTTTAGTGGTTCCTGGGAGCAGTTAATGAGTTTGGACCATCGACCTTGAGGTTAGCAGTCCAGTGCTTATTCTACAGCGTCACACCAGGATTCAGATTGTATGGTCATCTTAAAATCCTTCAGAGCCTCTGCTTTCCTATGGGTTGCTTCACAATCTGAGCCCAGCTTTCTTTCCCAGTCTTTTTGTCTCCAGCTATCTACCCGTGCTCTAGCAATAACCAACCACACAGTTGTTCCTAAGCAGTTTGTCCTTAACGGCTTTTTAACCTCTGAACATGCCCATGCTACCCCCTTTCCCCTGATTGGTGAACTCCTGCTTATTTTTTAAGATCTAGTTTAAATATCACATCTTTTAAGCCTCTTTAGCCCCCCCTGCCCCTTCCCTAGCACAGTAAGACAACAGTACAGTATTTGAAAAACAAAGAAAAAAGGCTGCCCCTTTTAAGGGGCAGGAACTGTAGATGATTTATTTGGATGTGGCTCAGTGTCGATGTGGTAGGGGACTAAGAGAATGAGTGGATTCTGATTGCTTTCCCTGTTCCTTTCACAATTCCTAATGAAATGAAAGTGAACTGAAATGAAAGTTTATCATCTTAGTGTTTGATAAAAGAAAACATTGTTTCTTCTTCTTGTTTTGTTTTTTGTTTTTTTTAAATAGGTGGTTCTGGAATGGAGCCGGGATCAATACCACGTTTTATTTGATTCCTATCGAGACAATATTGCTGGAAAGTCCTTTCAAAATCGGTGAGAAAACAAGCTATTTTGGAGTGTGTCTGTTACTTGGATTTAAATAAGGACACATGAAACCACCCCTGTTACAATAGAAGAGTTGAAAGGATCTTCCAAATTGTAGATCTGTTTAAACTTATTCAAGACTACTCCCATTAGATGATACTCTGAAACTATTGCCTTGAGATCATTGTTAAATTCGAAACTGAAAATGTCGCCAGAAGTCTTAAAACCTTACAATAGTTTAGCTTAACCAGTAAAGATTGTCAGTCTTGAGCATTGTGCTCTTTTAATATCTAGCTGGAATAGAATAGGAGCTCTGGTGGCACAGTGGGTTAAGCATTGGGCTGCTAGCTGCAAGACCTGCAGTTCAAATCCATGAGTTGCTCCATGAGAAAAAGCTGAGACTGGCTGCTCCTATAGACTGACAACCTCAGAAGCCCTGTGGAGCACTGTGCGTTGGAATTACCTCGATGACTGTGAGTTTGGATTGTTGAGTTTGGAAGCAACTTGATAACAGCAACTCAGAAGATTAGAGAGGACATACAGAGGCCAGTGAGTTTATGTTTATGGGGGAGGAACAACTTGGGAACAAGGAGAGTGAGAATAGTTGTACAACTTTAAGAGTGTGATCAATGTCACTGAGTTTTACATGAAGACATTGTTGAGGGGGTGTATGTTCTGTGTGTATTCTCAACAGTAACAACGTAAGTAAAATAAATTATTTAGGGTAAAAAAAAAAAGGACATCCCCCTTGGAAGAAACCTTGTAGCTCATCTCCATATATTATGGATTTAAACAACAAAAAAATAGACCCAAAGAGTAATCCTGCCTTCCTGAGCACTTTAAGTTTCATGGTATAATTTTATCGTTGCCCAGTTTTGAGAGGTAAAGGTCATCTCACACTCTGCAGGATAAGCCCAGTCCATTAGTCTTCTGGTTCCACTGCTCTGCTCACCAGGGCAGCTCCATAGTAACCACTGAGAGTAGACTATCCCTGTGGTTACACATCCCCCACGTCACTGTGGGGGAAAAACAGACAACCTTACGGTTAGGTCTTTGTCTCTTTAAGTACCTTTAATATTCTCCTCCAACACCATAATTCAAATACATTGATTGTTCTACAGTCGATCTTATTAGTTGCCCAGCTTTCACATACATTGAGGTGAACGAAAGTACCATGACTTAGTCAGGAGCACCATAGTCTTCAACCTGATATCATTGCTCTTGAACACTTTAAAAGAGGTTTCATGCAGCAGATTTGCCTCATGTAATATGCCATTTGATTTCTTGACTGCTGCTTCCATGAGTGTTGATTATAGATCCAAGCAAAATGAGGTCTTGACAATTTCAGTGTTTTCTCCATTTATCATGTTATTTATTGGTCCAGTTGTAAGGATTTTTGTTTTATGTACATTGAGGTACAATCCATACTGAAGTCTCTGATCTTCATCAGTAAGTATGTTAAATTGTCTTTGCTTTTAGCAAGCAATCATCTGCTTATCACAGATTTTTAATGATTCTTCCTCCAATCCTGATGCCATGTTCGTCGTCGTATAATCCAGTTTCTCGGATTATTTACTCATCATACTATTGAATAAGTATGGTGAAAGGATAACAACCCTGGCATACATCTTTCCTGATTTTAAACCATTCCGTATCCTTTCTTCTTTTTGAACTGCTTCTTGGCCTGTGTACAGGTTCCTCATGAGCACAATTTAGTGTTCTCAGATACCCATTCTTCCCAGTGTTAGGATCTACACAGTTAAATGACTTTGCATAGTCAATAAAACACAAGTAAAATCGTTCTGGTATTTGTACTATTCCAGCTAAGATCCATCTGATGACAACAGTGACATCACTCCTTCCACAAACTCTTCTGAATCCAACTTGAACATCTGGTAGTTTCTCATCAATGTGCTGCTGCAGCCATTTTTTAATTATCTTCAGTAACATTTTACTTGTGTGTAATATTAATGATATTATTCAATAATTTCCAAATTCCATCGTTCATCTCTCTTTGGATGATGACTACAGTGGGTACTGGTATACACTGATGCCATTGCCTTGCTTCATGGGAGACTTTTTACCAACTACTGCTTTTACACCATGTAAAAGGCAGTAGAGTGGGAAAAGGTGGATTGTATCTTAGTATTATTATACAAACAGTTTTGATTTCTTGTTGTTGTTGTTAAGTACTGTGGAGTCAGTTCCAACTCATAGTGACCCACCCTGCACAGGGTTTCCGAGGCTGCAAATCTTTACAGCATCAGAAAGCCTCATCTTTCTCCTGTGGAACAGTTGGTAGTTTCAAACTACCGACCTTGAGGTTAGCAGCCTGATTTGTAACCACTTCCTGAAAGTCTGAGGGACCTCCAGGGTCTTTGAAAACTGCTACTTTAGAGAAATATAAGGGAAAGAGTTCAGGAGCCCTAGTTGCTGCTTGGGTACTAACTAAAAGGTACTAACTTACCAAGCTGCTCTGTGGGGGAAAGAGCTGATGATCTGCTTCCACAAAGCTTACAGTCAAGACACTCCATGGGGGCAGTTCTACTCTGTCACATGGGAGTGCTATACATTGCAGTCAGCTGATGACATCCAGTAACAACAACAAAAGGGAGAGATCCAGTTCCCCTATTTCACAAACTACAGGTTTAGACTACTACTCATCTGGAAGTTTGTCCTTCTCAGGTAAGTTGTGTGTTGCTATGATGTTGGAAGCTATGCCATTAGTATTTTTTAAACCAGCAGAATCACCTATGGTGGACAGGTTTCAGTAGTGCTTCCAGACTAAGACAGACTAATAAAAAGGAGAGATGAATCACTCCTGAATGGTTAACCACTGAAAGCCTTATGAATAGCAGTGGAACATTGTCAGATACAGTGCTGGAAGATGAGCCCCTCAATTGGAAGGTACCTCCTCAAGGTAGAGTTGACATTAATGATATGAATTTAGCAAACTTTTTGGACCTTCATTTGCTGATGTGGCACGACTCTAAATGGGAAGAAGAAGCTGCAAATATCCATTAATAATCAGAACATGGAATGTATGAAGTATGACTCTAGGAAAATTAGAAGTTGTTGTAAAAAATGAAGTGGACTGCATAAAGGTTGATATCATAGGAACTAGTGAAATGGACTGGTTTGGGCTATTTTGAATTGGACAATCATATGGTTTACTGTACCTGGAATGAAGAGGAATGGTGTTGCATTTATTTTCAAAAAGAACATTTCAAGAGCTATCTTGAAGCACAGTGCTTTCTATGATAGGATAATATCCATATGCCTACAAGAAAGACCAGTTAATATCACTATTATTCAAATTTACACACCAATCGCTAAAGCCAGTGATGAGGATAGTGAAGAATTCTACCAATTTTTTCAGTCTGAAATTGATCAAATATGCAATCAATATGTGTTTATAATTACTGCTGGTTGGACTGCGAAATTTAGAAACAAAGAGGAAGAAACAGTAATTGAAAAATATGACCTTAGTCATAAAATTATGCTGGGGATTGCAGAATAGGATTTTGCAAGATCAGTGACTTCTTCACTGCAAATACCTTTTAAAACAGCATAAAAGATGACTATAAACCAGGACCTCACTAGGTGGAATACACAGTAGTCGAATTGACTCCATTATTGGGAAGAGACGATGGAAAAGCTCAGTGTCGTTATCTAAAACAAAGCCAGAGGCCAGCTGTGGAACAGATTGTCAGTTGCTCATATGCAAGTTCAGGTTGAAGCTGAAGAAACTAAAACAAGTCCTTGAGAGCCAAAATATGACCTTGAATATATCTTACCCGAACCTAAGACCATCTTAAGAACAGATTGTGTTTTGATGCATTAGACCAAAAGACAGAGAGTTGTGGGATGACATCAAGATAAAGAAAACAAAAGATATTTAAAAGGCAGGAAACCAAAGATGTTAAAAGAGACTCTGAAACTTGATCTTGTGGGTAGAGAAGCTAAAGCAACTGAAAGAAATGAAATAAAAGAACTGAATAGAAAATTTCAAAAGGCAGCTTGAGAAGACAAAACAGTATTATAATGAAATGTCCAAATCCCTGGAATTGTAAAACCAAAAGGGAAGAACACACTCAGCATTCCTCAAGCTGAAAGAATTTAAGAAAAAATTCAGGTCTCAACTTGGAATATTGAAGGATTCCATGGACAAAATATTGAATGATGCAGGAAGCATCAGAAGAAGGTAGAACATCAACAACAAAAACTGGTTGATGCTCAGTCATTGCAAGAAGTAGCATATGATGGTATTAAAGGAAGAAGTCCTAGCTTTCCTGCAGGCATTGGCAAAAAAAGGCTCCAGGAATGAATGGGATACAAATTAAAATGTGTCAACAAACTGATGCAGTGCTGGAGACCCTCTCTTGACTATGCCAAGAACTTTGGAAGACTGCTACCTGCCCAAATGATGGGAAGGAATCCAAATTTGTACCCATTCCAAAGAAAGGTGACTCAACCGAATGTGAATAGCATCAAACAGTATCATTAATATCACATGCAAATCATATTTTGTTGAAGAAAATTAGAAAACAGTTGACAGTAAACTGCCAGAAATTCACGTTGGATTCAGAAGAAGATGTAGAATGAGGGGGATATAACTATTGATGTCAGATAGCTCTTAGCTGAAAGCAGAAAATATCAGAAAGATATCTACTTGTGCTTTATTAACGATGCAAAGGCATTCAACTGTGTGGATCATAACTAACTATGAATAACATTGTGTGAAGAATAGTAATGAAGAAGACTCAGTAACAACCTCTGATATGCAGATGTTACAACCTTGCTTGCTGGAAGCTAAGAGGACTTGAAACACGGATAAACATCAAAGTCTACAGCCTTCAGTATGGATTGCACCTTAATATAAATGAAACAAAAATGTTCACAACTGGATCAATAAATTGTTGTTGTTGTTATGTGCTGTCGAGTCGGTTCCTACCCATAGCGACCCTGCACAGGGTTTGCGAGGCTGTAAATCTTTACGGGAACAGAAA